TATTATCTGATACTCATAGACAAAGCGCTATAGTCCTCCACTAAGTCCATGTAGACGAAGTCTCAGCGCAGAGGTCCATCACGGTCATCTAATGTGGAAAGCGTCGAGACAGACAGGAAAGCCGCAAGTGTGATAAAGTCATTGGTCCTATCGGAGGGACAATTATATTACAGCGCGATATCCCGGTTATTGCAGCTGACTGTCTGCCAGCTCCGGGGCCTGCACAGCTTGTAAAGACATCGTACAAGAGATGAAAGTCAATCTCCTCTCCTCCAGTAACCAGACTGCAACTGCCGGTGCACAGGCACTGGGATTTACATAATTGTGTCATCTCTGAGCTGGCATCTCCATCCAGAAATTGGTGACCCTGGATGATGCCTGAACAGAGATGACGCCGTCCTTCTGGAGAGAAAAGCACATGAAGACATTATCAGGAGGAGCACTGTGATCTCTATGAGAGGCAAAGGGGTCATGTGCATTTTTGCCTCTGTTTTAGTGCTTTGGCAGCCCTTTTATCATAAATGGGATTCCCTGCGTTAATGCATGTGCCCTCAAAGGAGCACTCCACTTGGAGAAAAGCCACCAATAAGGTTAGGTGTTTTTACTTCAGGCAAGGTATTACTATCTAATTGTTTATTTTGAAAGCCAGTGATGTAAGTAATCAATTATTAACCAATAAAAAGATATCAAACATCTCAGTTTTCCTGATTCAGCCAACGGCAATTATTTAGGGCGGCAGCCAACGATTATTTTCATACTCGGTTTGTGGCGCGCACAGCTCGTGCACGTGTAGAGGGATGCCGGGGATGCCCGCTCTCACGTAGCCCCCCTTGTAGGAGGTGGAGCCGCAGATAGCCCTGCCCAGTCACTCCCCCTCTCCTTCTCTCCCACATACTCCGTGTCCAGCCATTCCCCCTCTCATTAATAACATTGCTGGATTCCTCACCCCTCCTGATCAGGGGGGACACCCTGGAAGACTGCTGGGAGAGGAGAAGAGCACAGGCTGCATGCCCCCCTTTTACCTGCAGCCCCCCATACCTTTCCCTCATTGCAGTCAGCTCCCCTTCCTTCTCCCGGCTGCACATATTGGGCTACCTAGCAGTGGAGGAGGGTGGCTGGCAGGCGGAGGCCAGGACTGAATAGGGCCCCCCCTGGAGCCCCCCCATAATGCCGTCTCCCAGGACAGATGTTCCAGCTGTGCTCCTCCTGGGATTTCTCCTGCTGTACGTCTATGCAACCTCTGTCAACGATGGTGAGTAGATGCTTGTCATCCCCATCCTCTGCTGCACCCGCCGGGGGGGGGGGGGGGGGGTGGGCTCCAACCCAGCACTATGGGGGTGCACCGTGTATATTATCTGATACTCATAGACAAAGCGCTATAGTCCTCCACTAAGTCCATGTAGACGAAGTCTCAGCGCAGAGGTCCATCACGGCTATCTAATGTGGAAAGCGTCGAGACAGACAGGAAAGCCGCAAGTGTGATAAAGTCATTGGTCCTATCGGAGGGACAATTATATTACAGCGCGATATCCCGGTTATTGCAGCTGACTTCCCATCCTCCCCGAGAAACATTTGTTTCTGATTTTACCGACGCACCAAAAAAAAAAAAACCTCAAAAACAACAACAACGTTCAAATTTAGATTGCGCAAATGTACCGGCGACGGCAAGTTTACATTTTTCAGAGCGAAACCGCGGCGAAAATATTTACAGTTTGGCCCTGTGGATGCGGATGTCGGGAAGAAGTAAATCATGACTTTACATTCCAGGCGCAGCTAAAACGGCTTACTAAAGGGCAAGCGTGACCACAGTCAATGTATATGGAAGGCCAGGTAT